GTCCTGACTGGGTGAGTGCAGCTTCCTTTGCTGAGCACGATGAGAACAAGGGGCTCCCAAAGACTTCTGTTTGACCAAGAGTAACTGGGCTGAAATTTCTCATCCTAACACATTTCTCAGGCAGAAATATTTATTTAAGGAAGAAGTTGCACAGGCACACACTTCTGTCCTTCCCCCTTGGGTAAAGCACTCATACAAACTGAGGCACCCTGGGTAAACAGAACCCTGCTTTCCCCAGTGGTTTCCACTCTTCCTGCACCATATAAAGCTGTGTCCCTCTCCCCTCTGCTCTTCCCCAGGAGCTCTCTCTTTATCAGTGGTACTGAGGCACAGCTGCTGCTGTGAGACACAGGGCTGCTGGGAATTCATAAGTATGCTGGAAAACTTCTTTGGCCATTGAAATATTTTGACACACAAAACTACCCCTCTCTGGGGCTATAATATAAAATAAAAACCAATAAAAATGTGTCAATAACAGGGCAGTTACCAATATTAAGTTTTGAGCTTCAACATCTCTGAAACAATGACCCAAGACTTTGTAAGGAAACGTGACCAATTTACTTTGCGTGGTGGCAGCCAACAGCACAGAGACCACACTGATGTGTTTGTGCTGCAGCACCAGCGCTTCTTGGAAAAGGAAATCTGAAATAGCAAGGTTCTGCTAGAGATTGGCAGCACATACAGGGCACCAAGAAGGAAGAGACAGAAGTGGAGGAGACTAATCCTTTCCAGAGAATATTAATTATTCAGTGTGCTGATACAATACATGGGACAGTAGTCTAATGTGTCACATGTTGCTGCCCACAGACTGACACTACACCAGAAATCAGACACTGGGAAAAGCAGCTGAAAACCTACAAGAACATGATGCAGACACAGCTATCCTAACTTTATCCCATACTCCCTGGAGGATTTGAATGGTGGATCTCAATAGTTACCAGCCTGCTGAAAATCAAGGCTGTTTCTCCATGCTTCATTACTTTTCTCTTAGAACAGCTATAATAGTATTATTAAGTTCCAACTCATGTAATTGAGAGCATTTTTGATTTATTCTTTTGTGTAAGACCCTTTCCTCACCCCACTCTTCTGAAGTGGGTTTGAACTCACCCCACAGCACAGGGGGAGAGTGCAAACATTAACCAAAAATCTACAAGAACATAAAAGGGTGGGGAGTTACTGTCTATATAGGGAAGAGAAGAGCTCAGTCTTTGTTTACTGAGAATTCCGCTCCCTTTCTACGAGGAGCAGAAAGCCCACACAAAAATCACACAGAAAACCAAAGCAACTAAGAAAGAGGAGGCTGCTAAGGCAGAGCTCCAAACAAACAACACTTACTTAAAACATCAAAGACCAAAACAAGCAACAATACAAAGCCTGCAAAGGAAAAGGTGCTCTCTTTCTCCCTGCAGATCCGGGTTACAGAAGCCACAACTCCTGCAACCACATCATTACTCAGTTCTTGATCAGGTCAGCTGCACAAAGGTTCATTAAACATTTACAGGTGACATTTTTCTGACTTGTGACAACCAGGATCAAGATAACCATCCATTTTCTACAGCCGCTTGGTTCAAATCAGTTTGAGAAACCAACCAGCAAGAAAAGAACAAACAGCAACACAGCCCACAGGATGAAAACTGCCAGGTTTCTGACCAGCTACCAGTAAAAATCTTACCCCTTGAAAGCAACAGAAAACAGCCACAGCTAGAGATTTCTTCAACAAATTCAGCACCTCTTAAAGAGTGCAGGACACAAATTTCAGGTCTAAGAATATAAAGAAAAAAACAGCAGTCAATTTCTCTAGTCAGTTAATAGAGATTTTTGTGAAATGGCCAGGTATGGTAATGAGCTGCATTTTTTACGTGGGACTAAGCAATAAGCAGAAGAAAAATCTCACACACACTGACACACGTTCCCCACAAGAGGATGTCTCAGGAGAAACCCTGTGAAAGTGATTTCTTTGTGTGTTGTGCAAAGACTTTACTTGCACTAACAAAGCAAATTTCTTGTGTAAATGAGATTTAAATCACACTGCTGTGCTGAGAAGCTCTCCACTGCCAAGATAAACAGACACAAAGTCTTAGTTTGTACATTCAGACACGCTCAACTACTTGGCAAAAAAGCTTCCACCACAGAAATTTCAGAGTTAAAAATAGAAGGTGAGCTTGAGAATAGTAAAGTTTTCTTCCCACCATCTTGGCATTTCATTCCTTTTCTGACACATGAAAAAAGAGGGATAGCCATCCCTGAAGACAGCCTGTTACTAAACCCACATAATTGGTACAGTGACAGAAATACAGGCTCCCTTTACCAGAATCATCTTTGCTGTTTTACCCAGGGGCTTCTCTAAGCTCCAATTCAGCTTTCCTGCCTTTGCAATTCCTGCCCCTCTGCAAGGGCTTTCACCAGGCCCCACAGGCACTGCTGGTCTTGAACTGAAGTGTGACCTGTGTTTGGGAGCACAGACACAGTGCCCCCAACCCCACGGAACACAGAGAAGAGTGAGAGGGCTATTGGTGAAGTGGGACTTGATTTCTTTGGCTGAAGCATCCATGCCTCCTAATTTCTGTGGACAGAGCAATTACTGCAGAGTAATGAGAAATAAAGTTGAAAGGGTTCTTTGCTGTGTGGCACAGGCACAATGCCATGGTGTCTTCCTCAAACCGCCACAATAACAAGCAGAGAAGAGTGTTTCCTGCACCTTGCAGCAGGCTGACAGAAATAACTGACTGCCACGGAGCTGCCTTGCAGACCAGAATAGCTCTGCCTCAGAGCTGTTCAGAAACGCTCCAAATACTTGGTGAACATGCTGACATTTTAAAAATAAGTCACACAGATTTATCTTTTGTAATTATCTCCATAAATACATAAAATAAATTCCTGCTTAAGGTCAAACGCTTCTAAATATCCTGGTTGATGCAAGCAGCCCGGGTTTGCCTCATCAGGTTTACACAAGATGCTAACACAGACAAGAAAAGCAGAATGCCATTTTCCAGGGGACACTGGGAAAACACTCTGCCTAGTTACAAACAAGGAATCACTGTATTTCACTCAGGTGATCCCAGTCCCATTCCATTTCCTCACACAACAAATACCTATCCATTAAAAAAAAAACCTGAAACCAACCAGATGCTATAGGAATGCTGATTTCACACAGGATTTTCTCACAAGTGAAATGACTTCGTTACAGATTAACTTTGCCCCAGAGTAGCAGAGCAGACATAAGATGAATACACAGGAAGCCTTTGCCACTGGTTATTTTTGCTGTAACTAGGGCAATGCAGAATGATCTGGGAAGGCCTACCCTGCTGCCAAGCTGTGCTGAACATTCAGCACACGGCTTCCAGTGTGTGCTCAAAGTCACTGTGTGCTGTCTTTGTAGCAGGTCAATCTTTAAATGTGTACTAGCTACTTTAAATAGAACTGGAAGGGCAAGAAAACTCAAACTTCTTGAGTAAATATTTTTCCTTGCTGGCACCTAATCCTAATACCTTGTGCTAGCTCTGCAGTCTCCAGCTTGAGCCAGGGGCAGAGATTAGCAGGAGCCATTCAGCAGCTGCAGAGTTCTGGCAGTTCTGGCCACTCCATTGTGGTGGTGAAGGGAATCCTTGCTGCCACTTCTGCTCTGAGTCTGAAGGAGAAAGGCAGTTCCCAGACACCAAAAACAGACACTGCCATGAGCTCCACCACCACAGCAGAGTGCAAACAAGGTGACCACTGAATGAACAGAAGCTCAGCACATTTGCTCAAGGCCTTCTAGCAGAAAGCTCAAGACAAACCCCAGCTTTTACGAAAGAGAAAAAATTGTGTAGACCAAGCACAAACTACTTGGATCACTACTGTGCAAGAGCATCATCACAATTCTCACAGCAGTACAACAGGCTCAGATTAAACAAGTAGTTAAAGGAATTAAAGTCAGGATTTTCTATTTAAAAAGACAATCTCCTGTGGATAGCAACCCATTGAAATAGCTAAGCCTTTGCAATACATCTGACACCCCAGTATGCCATTGACAGGGGCTCAGATACTTGTTAGAGCTTTAACATCAACCAGAAATAGATGCTGAATTGAAATAACTGAAGTTTTTGTTAGTACAGACAATGTGCACACTTCCCCAAAGTTCAGTAGGGGAAAGAGCTGCAAAGATTATTAATGTGTTCTGCACTGGGATCAGAGAGATGAGATACAAAATCCCACCAGCTCTGAAGGCAGGAAATTGTCACTTCTAATATTTTTCTTTCCCTGTTCCATCATGTTGTATTACAGTGGGAATTTCCCCTTCTCTTTTTTTGTGTAGTAGAATTAAACTCATTTTAGTTGAGCAACTTCTTACCAGTACAATAATTCTCACTCTGACAACAAAACGCAGTGAAATAAGGGCCACTCCCACACCACAAACCCCAGACCCGGAATGTATTTCATGTTTTCCTTGCGACTCTCCAAAGGCACAGCCAAGGCAGTCGCTCCTCCAGCTCCTCCTGACGGCAAGCCAAGGGCACAGCACCCTAACGAGGGACGGCATGGGAATGCTGATGTCATCCTACACCAAACACCACAACAAACAAGACCTAAGCAGGGTTTGGAGAAAGACAATACCTAGGATCAGCAGAGGGGCAGGTGCAAATGCACAGGAGGCCTTCTCCGAGCCTGTGACAAATCTCCAGCTGAGCGCTAGTCAAGGCCAATGGTTCTGCTTTAAACTCACTGTCCAACTGGCTTAGTGAAGGAAAAACAGGGAATTACACCTATAGAACAGAGGAGGGATGTCTAAAGTGAGAGGGGATCGGGCTGGCAGGCCCCGTAAGTCAGGAGAGAGATTAAAGCAGACAAGGACAGAAGGCTTCAAAGTGGCTGAAGATGCAAAGAGCAGCTCCCCATTTATATATTCATCAGCTCAAGAACTGATACAGTGCCTGGAGTAATTCTCCTTTGAAGAAGAAAGTAATACTAAAGATCATAACAGAGAGAAAACACATGGGAGAACAAAACACACAGAAGTACCCTCTAGGTAACAAACATTTTATTTATTTCTTAAAGGAACTACAGCAATATATGTGCTACAGAATTATGAAGCACTGAAAAAACCAAAGGAATGAAATGGCCTGGATCCAAGCACTAAGGACATCACACCTTTTCTCTCACTGAGCCATCACTCAGAAAAATCACATTATCTGAAAAGAAATTAAAAAAAAATTAATCTTGAGCATTGTTTTGCCTTGTTGCAAGCCTTCACACCATGAAGCCCAGATATCTGAGTTAAAATAATTTGCTAAGATGTAGATTTTGGAACAGAATAACAGTTGGTAAAGGAGTGTTCAATACAAGGTTCCTTCTCTATCTCCCCTGAAAGCAGACAATTCAAGGTAGCCATATGTACTATGAAACAAGTGTGCTGAAGCTGATGAAAAGCTGCTGAACAGTGAAAGACACTAAAATATTTTAAAATGATGGTTTAATTATTTCACTACGATCTCCATCAGTTACAGCTTATTTCCCTTTTCTTTTGTCATGTTCACTCTGCACTATATACCATGTCAACAGCCTGTAGGAATATGGGAAGCTCCTACTTCATCAAGCCTAAGGAATTTCTAAAGTGTCTTGAGACTGGGCCTCTTGAACAAGAAATCATTAGGAGAACACTAATTAAAAAACATAATTGCTTCTTCCTTCCAGCACTGCTAGCTTTTAAAGAGGCTGCAGAAACATCCAGGAATATGACTGTTCTTTTTCCTTTTTTTCCCCCTCTCCTTTTCCTCTGTTCTAGTCATTCCAGACATACTTGTGTAACAGAAATGTTTGCTCTACTACCCAACTAATTTATCCCTCATTCAAAAGCAACACAGGAGCAGCTCTATCCACAATAAAGATGCAGGATGCTCAGGCTATTTCAAGGCTCAAGGAACAAGCTGAGTTTCCTAGTTTTCTTTGTTGTGTCAACCCAAGGCACAAATCTACTCCTTATCTATTCTGTGGGATAAACAAATGACACCAACACTTTGCAATACTCCCATTTTCTGTGTGTTCACAAGCAGTGCCAGAGGAAATCTTTTGGTACACACTATCCATTATCTCAAAATCCCTGAGTGTGGATACTGAGGATGAAGACAAACCAAGCTTCATTTCAGAGGCCCTCCACCCTCTTTTCATTTTAAAAGGGCAAGGGGCACCTTGGTGCTTTGCTTCTTACCTGCTATAATTGTTGTGGCCTGTCGCCTCACATTGTTCTTATCTGTATATTCACCATAATCTATCTTCCCTTCAACAAATATTCGAGAGCTGAAAAAAACCAAGAATTTTATTTTGGTCAGAGAACTGTGCTGCTGTTTTCCACTCTAGAATTGTAGAATGGTTTGGGTTAAAATGGGATCCTAAAGACCACATGTTCCAAACATCTGGCCATAGCAGAAATACATCCACTAGATCAGGCTGCTAAAAGTCCCATCCAGTCTGACACTTCCAGGGATGGGGCATCCACAGCTTCTCTGGGTAACCTGTGCCAGGGCTTCACTAGCTTGACAGTAAGGTTTACATCCATATATCCAACCTAAATTTTCCCTCTTTCACTTGGAGCCCACGACTCTTTGTCTTATCACTACACTTCCTGATGAAAAGGCTGAATTCAGAATCTGATTCAAACTACACAGGCTTTTGTATCAGTTGTTTGTAGCTGCTCTGCTAACTTGTCTTATGGCACCTGTATGTTACAGATCCTGATCACTGTAATTATCACAGTAATCCATTATTAAGGCATTAAATTCTCACACACATTTGTTATTTACTTACCCCTTCCTCACATACTGATAGGTGACATCCCTGAGGCCAGGTCTGAAGACAGAGATTCTGTGCCATGTCGTCTTCTGACTGATATCACCTAAGGTACACAGAAGTAAAAGAGCTGGATGCCAAATCCTCTTTGTGATACAAGACTCAGAAATCAGCTTCAACACATTGGTATTCTCAAATTGTGAGAAGTGATTTGAAAACAGAAGTATACTAGCACTCCATCTCCCACTTCACTCCAGAACTAAATGTTCCACTCATTCGTGTCCAAACAAATTCTTGTGCAGAAGCACAGTTCAAAGTAAGACATTGTTTTTTCTGTAAGACAGTGCTCACGCTAATAATTTCCCCCCCCCAGACACTTCACACTGAATAGAATCTAGAGAATGAGACATCTGCAGATGCAAACTGATGAGAGAATCAATGAGAAAATCATCTTTTCTTTGTTTTTCTCATCCTGAAATACCAATAAGAGTACAGAACCTGCTATACCTCTGACATACCCCCACCAGTGACAAACTGCCCACTCCACACACTCTCCTCTCCTCCTGAGGAAAGTGAACAACAGATCTCTCTTCAGTACATGCTGCTGGGGATCAGTAAGACACACACAAGTGCACCAGCATCTTTGCTGAGTTCAAAGGAACCTTCCTGCACCCCAGAGATTTGCAAGTGTGCTGCTGGCCATGCAGCTGTGACCTGGGACCTGCTGGCCATGCAGACTCACCTCCCTGGTTTACTTCACTATCTCCTGTCCGCCACATCTCATTGGTTGCAAGGGAAAATATGGTAACAGGATTTTTTCCTTCCACTTGCCTCATGATAGGGTCCTGTCCAACCCGACCAAGCAGCTGAACACGATTCATGGCTGAAACAAGAGAGACCAAACACCAAAGTGAATTATGGTGCTTCTAAGCACGGCAAGCCATCAGTGAGCAGCTTTTCTCAAGGGCCAGGATCACAGCTTTCTGCACCTCCTGAGCACTTTTTAAGCTCTTGTGACATTTGGCTTTTTCAGGCCCCAGCAGATGGTTGACTATGTCTGTACTGTCATTATCACTGTGAACTAACTGATTTAAAAAGCCAAAGGTTCCTTATTCTTTCTGTTCCATCTCTTTCACAGATACATCCATGTACCACTTAAGACTAAACTGCATTTGTATGACTTTTATTTGTTTCATAATGATAAAACACAATGCACAGCAGTACCTTTGAAACAAAGTTGCATTACTATACTCCATCCTCTGAATGAGAGAGTCAGTTTTTACACCATTACCAGGCCCAGGCAGACACTGTCTATCCCTTCCAGTGTTCAAGGACAACTGGAAGAAGTCAGGTAAGTATCCCTCATGCACAATGAACATGTGAAGTGAATAGTGAAGGCTGAAGAACACCTGGAGCAAATCCTACTGGGGCAGCACCACATAGACAAGTGCCCCAGGGACCCAGGAGTCTGAGAAACAAGCACACAAAACAGCTGAAGGCAGCTGTTAGAAACCATGCCAACAGCAGACCCAAACCACTGCCACAGACAAAGCACAACTACCTGTTCTCTAGAGAGGGTAGTCTGAGTCAGGGCTTTCTTCTTTTCCCCTAAACTGCTGCATCACCTGACAGACACCAGACAGGAAGCCACTCAAGACTGTGTGCTTGAAACAACACATTCTTAGGTGCTACACTAAGGAGCTACCACTCCTACTTGCTTCTCTCCTGCCTTATTGAGATGTCCTAAAACTGAGATAAACACGAGTAACAACTAAATTGCATTGCAGGAGGTACTTACATCTTTCAAGTACCAATGAGTTAACCGTATCAGAGTCATGTCTAACGAGTAACAACTAAATTGCATCGCAGGAAGTACTTACATCTTTCAAGTACCAATGAGTTAACCGTATCAGAGTCATGTCTTACAAACTGGCGCAGCACCTGAAGGAACAGAGAAATGTGAGTTTCCAAGACACAAACTATGAACAGCATTCACAAGCCTTCACACCTCATTTTCTGAGCACTTGCAGAGGCTCTGCAAGTATGTTCTTTGCTAGGTAACTAATGGGGGACCTGAGGAAAGAAATCTGTTCGGCCAAATGAAGCTAGTAAGATTACTTAAAAAACATCTGGTTAAATCAAGGTGAAAGAGTTGCCTAGAAAGAAGTATGGGCCAAAGGTATACCTCCAGCAGTTACTTTTGGGACACGCAGTAACTACTGCTTTTCTGTAATATGTAAATAAGAAGGTTTGTGGAAGAGTGGGGGTTTAGTTGTTTCAGCTTTAGTCTTTGGAAACAAACAGGTCTGATGGTTCTGCTTCGTTTCAGAGATTAACCAGGTGTGCCCAAAAAGTACATCCATCCACTGGAATGAGCAGTGGATGCACTGGCACACCTGTTCCCAAGGGAAATCTAGGACACAAAATTCTTAGAACTGCAAGTGGGAAAGCTGCACAGGAACTGCCATTACTCCAGCAAATATTCCAGCTTAAAGGAAAGGAAGTGGCGGGAGGGAAGCACAGAAAGACTTCTGCTAGCTGTCCACGTGCAGGAATTGGAAAAAAGTCTCATTTCCCAGAACAGGTGGCTCCAGAGCTCACACTCTCTCCCTAAGAGCAGACCCAGCGCCGAGGCCCCGGCCAGCGGGCACGGCGGCCGAGGGCTCCGGGCTGTGTCCGCCCCTCCCCTTCCCGGGCAGCGCCGAGCGCGGCCCCGTGTCCGGGATCGCGGCGGGCACAGCGGCTGCAGCCGGGCCCGCGCTCCGCCGCGGCCCCGCACGGCCCTACCTGCCACGCCGGTCGCCGCCACATGCTGCCGCCGAGCCTGCGGAGGGAAGAGCAGGGCTGAAGCAGGGCTGAAACAGCGCCCAGCGAGCCCCGGCCCGGCCCCGGCCCCGCGCCTCTCCCGCTGCCGCGCTGCGCCCGCCCGGAACAGGAAAGGGCCGGGGCGGAGGTTCCGGGCGGAAACGCGCCCGAGCCCCCGGGAGACACCGAGACCACGGGGGGAAAAATAGCCAACAAAATTCCGTCACTCCATTATCGGTTAAAAATGATAAAACCTTTATTCGCACGAAACGATAGGATCTAACAGTTAAAAGCCAGCATGTGCAACGTCATAAAACAAACCAGTAAAACCTGGAAATAAGCGAGTTACCAAGCGCTGCCCCCTAACATTGCAGCGCTCTGTCCAACCAACAAAAACGACAAGGACCCCCAAAGTTACATTTAGCGGGGAGAGGGCGAAGGCTGTATGAGATCTCAAATACACACAACCATTAACATGGGCAACTCCAAAAAGCTGATAAAGCCCTTTCTAATGGCCCTCATCTTTGCTGAAAGGCTGCAGTTCACAGGCAGAGATGCTGGAGGGGAGCTGGGTACAGACAGCCCCAGCTACCAGCACACTGCAGCCGTCTCCCCCACGGGAACAAGGAGTCCTCCCGGACTGACAGAAAACGAGTCGGGCACCAGGGACTAACTAGTCTGTTAGAGCACACCCAGTGACAAAAGTTTTGTTGCCGAAATTTGAAATAATGTTTTTCTTCAACTCCCACTCCCCTAACTCAAAAGTATTTTCTATTACTCTGTGTCCCCCCTTAGTGAAACACCACTCCAGCTGCACCCGAGCCCCCCAGGACAGCTGTGTGTAACCACCTGGCTCCTGATGTGTAGCTGGAACTGGCTGCCATAGTCTCTGCCTACTTGCTCCTAGAAGGGGCCAGCTGTAGATGCTGTCTCCCTGTACAGCCATCATCATCCCTCTATACTCAGCCCAAGTGTTAAGACCGCCAAATCACCAATAACAGGGCCCAACTCAGGAAAGAGGGAAGTGAGTGGAGCAAATGTCATTCTTTTGTCACAGCAGAGCTACACTGAGTCTACAGCAAGGCAAATTACACAAGAAATTAAACTGTAAAAGACTGAGGACAACCTTAAATCCCATTATACAACACTTGTAAGCCAGTCATTCTTTTCTCAGCCAACATCTCATCATAACTAACAGGGGAACAAAAAGCAAACAAACAAAAAACAAAAAACCCAAAAAAACAACAGGGAGAGAGTATGGGGCATTGGTCTGTGCAGACCCTCTGCTTTCACAGGGCCATTCAGCAGTCTATGGACAACACAAATTCAGAAACCCAGAGTAAAGCTAAACGAGCGACAGCTCTTCCCTCCCACCAGACGCTTGCTCTTTTGCTTAGAAGAGGTTTCAGACTCTTGTAACTTGGCACTTCCTAAGGCTTGGTCCTTCATGAGAGTCTGGGCAAGGCGAGCTGCTTTAAGTTCCCTGCAGGGGGGAGACAAAGGAAGAGGAAAGGAAGAAAACCATGTAATGCATGAATCCCCAGCAGCTACAGAAGCAAACTATGAACAATCTTTCACATGAGGGTTACTGTAATACTCCAGCACTGCTGGAAGGGGGCAACTTCTCAGCCCAGAGGATAACATGAAGATTACTGTAGCTGTCTCTAGAGTTTGTTTGAAAAGGTAGGAGCTCTGAAGATTTACCAGAAGAAAACTATGTATCAGGTCAGCAACACATTGGCACCAGTATGAGGAATACCTGGCTCAATTTTTCTCCCATTGTTTCAGATAGTTGTGAGTGCTGAAATTTATGTCAGTGTCATCTCATACATCTATAACACCTAAATAAATGCAGATGCTTCTTTTCCATTGCCTTTCTTCCCTTTCTTATACTTGCTGCTCTTCCAGAGCATTCACACTTCTGTCTACACAGAAAACCTCTTCCCCAGCTGACAATTGCACTTAGAGGGGTTGTGGGGACGTTCTCAGATCCCATCACCCCAAAACACTACTGCCAACAGCAGTGAGAGGGAACAAGGGAAATCTGCCACCACTTGATATTTCTTTTCCTTCTATGCTTAGCCCACTATCTCAGTGCATTATCAATTCCTCATCTGCCCACTGGCTGCAGGTTGTATCAGCATTTTGCATCACCAGTGGCTGCAGGAAGCACACAAGTTTGCTGTTATAACTCAGCCAGTTCCTCCAAGCCAGAGCTGAAGCACAGCTGCTGCCTGGGCACTGCAAGTCCCTGGTTTTACACCCCCATCATCCCCCCACCTCCAGGCACAGGAACTGCCTGGGGATTTCTGCACGTGCATTCTCCCAGCACTACCACCCTCAATTCAAAGCTGGTGACCAGCATGGTTGTGCCCATGCCTTCTCCCCTTCGTGCCCAAGTCAGCTCTACCTTTCCAGCATGGCAGTCTTGCATTTCTCCATATTTAGCTGCTCCTGGAGCTGCACAGCTTTTCCACACGAAGGACGGAGAACAGGGTGTTTGGTGAGAGCCGTGGCAGAAGGTCTTTGTGCTGGGTCAGGATGGATCATGAGCTAGAAGGCAAAGGAGTGCAGAGTCTGACATTCCTGTCACATGCCAGCTGCAAAAGCCACCATCCTGTCAAGACTACTTCCTCACCTTAAGGAGTTCAAGAAAACGGTGGGGAAGCTTCTGGGGGATGGGTGGGACGTTGCCTTTGCGGATGTGGTGCCACAGGGCGCCGTTGTGAGGCAGCGGTGCTGTCCCAGCTGCCAGAGCCACCGTGAGTGCCAGGGCAAAGATGTCTGCCTTGGGCAAGTAGCAGTATTGCTGCAGAGAGAAGGGAAAGATGTTAGAAAGGAACATCTTGCTACACTAAGCAAAGGTGAGCTGGGATATGAGTTCAAAAAGAAACAGCCAAGCAAGTGTGTGCATACAGCACTGCCTTCACCACTCCAGGGAGCTGTTTCCTGCTCTTCAGGATGAAAACATTGGCAGCAGGCAGTAGGACTAAAAAAAAGCATGTTGGCTCTCAGCCATAAGGACCTTGCAGGCCACGTTGGGATCACTGCAGTAACTCCAGAGGATGGCCTAACACATGTGTACCTCCAGCCTCCACCACAAGGCAGTGAGCTACCCATGCCCAACTCAAACTGAAGGCTGCATCTGATACATTGGCCTAACAGTTCCTAAATCCACTTGCAGCACAGACACTGTCCCTTAAACATCTGAACAACACATCCAAGCTGGTTGTTCAATTCTGATTCCCTTTACATTTGTTGGCTGGAGTGACAAAACTGCAGCCAGTTTAAGAGGCATGTTGTGCCTCCCACCTCTCCCACTACTTGTTCAGTGTTTGTTTTACAAGGCATCTGTCTGGGTAAATATATTCCTCCATAATCACATCCAGTAGTTTCACCTCAGCTGGACATGTAAATCAAATGTCTTCAAACTGATAAAGGTTTTGTCTCACTGATCCCTCAAGGGGAATAGCTGCAGTAATCCAATGATAGCTACTGATGAAGTATTTACATGATAAGACCCACAGCACTATTGTTCATGAGAAGTGCTAATTTTACAGATTTCACAGCCAGACCAGACAGATGAAAGAGAAGATAAGGTGAGGAACAAATTAGGCTAATGACTGCTCTACAGTTGATCTCTCCCCACTTGCTCTCGATAGATAGCTACTTATGAAGTATTTACATAAGACCCACAGCACTATTGTTCATGAGAAGTGCTAATTTTACAGATTTCACAGCCAGACCAGACAGATGAAAGAGAAGATAAGGTGAGGAACAAATTAGACTAATGACTGCTCTACAGTTGATCTCTCCCCACTTGCTCTCCCACCCTGTTCTCCCCCTGCCCAGCTTTAGCAGTTTTACCTCTTGCAAAATCTCATTGGCCAAAAACCGCCTGTCTCCTTCCTCCACCTGAGGGTTTGTTATTGACGTCACATGTCCAAGGTCACCTGAGACAAAGAACAAGCAGCTGAAATGTAATGAAGCAAACTGAAGTCATTCTCCAATAAAAGCCTCCCCTTTATAGGCACCAACAGAGAAATACTGAGTAGGAGAGCAAGCCTACTCCTAACTCGGCATTCTGCACTTGGAAACAAGCACATGAATTTTCCGTGACTTGTCTTCTTAGAGGAATAATTCTGGTGAGTAATTGGGGCATTCATGACTATTCTATCAGTTCTGTGTGCAAGTCTCTTCAGCCACAGGACACAGCAGTCTCAGGCTGTAATGGGCAGCCCTAATCTTAGGCCATCTGTAAAGTAGGCTAAAACATACCAATCTTATACACCACACCAGGAGAGAATTCATCTTCACTGTCACTCTCCTCCTGCCCAGCAGGGCCTGAAACTGCCAGCTTGTGACAGATGAAGATATTACCTGCAAGACACAGAAATTCAGCAATAAGGTGATACCAGTGGTCAGGCTGCAGCGCCTGACAACTTCGTAAAAATCCCACCTGTCAAAGTAGTTAAGCTTTGCAACAAGAGAAATTATACACATGCTTCCCACCCTGTAGTCAGCTTTCTTCCCAGCTCACATTCAGACACAGAGCTGGCATAAGACAGCTGTATCTTGTGCATAAAATATCCCAGGGAAATCGGCTTTCCCCTCCCTCTGCCCTCTACAGGAGAAGAGTAATTTCAGCAGGAAAAAGGAGTTGCCCTCTAATATTAATTATGTGACAGAGGGGAAGCATTGCCCTGGAGGTGACCATCCTGGGCTGCAGAGAGGAAACCTTGTTACTATTTTTGCAGGAACTTAATCCCCCCAAGCTAAAAGGTATCACAAAAGGCAGGTGTTGTGCAACAGGACAGGAGTAATAAAGGAAGTCCCCATCTTCCCTGGCAGCCCTATTTGCTCCATCAGTATGAAGGTGATTCCCATAAGCTAGGAATAGGAGCATGAGACAGGAGTAAAATGCTATCAGAGAAGGCTCAATTTTAGAGCAGCAGTAGGGGCACAAATCAAAATAAAAATAAAACCAAAACACCATCCACAAGACAAGGGCAAGGTCCTCTTTTCTTTGGAGCACTACAATCAGTCCACTCAAAAGGATTTATTACAGGTCTGACCCCTGAGGGATCACTAGGAAAACCCTCCACAAAGGAGGAGGGCACTATACTTACTAGGTTTGATATCC